ACAAATTGTGTCTGATTCAGACTCGTGACATTTCCACGGCTTGGATTGAGCAGTTTTGTATTGAAATGGCGATGCATCCAATCTCGTTCCAAAATTACCATTTTTTTAAGAGAACAATTAACGGAAAGTATTTTTCACAAAACAACAGAATGATGGACTTATTTGAAATAGTCCAATATCTATTATTACAAAGTAACGAGTTTAAGTTGCTGTCATATCCAATAACACTCACTCTAGCTTCATCCCAGGATTTTAGGGTATTCTCAACACTATACAGGTAACAATTCGGACTAGCATTTTCGTCAGAAAGCAACATATACCCAGGAGGACAACTTGTTGGAACACAAAGTGCTATTAATATGACAACACTATTGTTTGAAGTATTCAAACAATAAGAAACATAAATGAAGATAACGTGAAAACGTTAAGTACAATCAAGGTTTAAAGTTTAAATTTTGTAACAAATGCTTTTAATTTTTTTAAAAGATATACAAAGAACGTTAAAATTAGAAATGTTAAAATTAAGCTCACAACGCCATTGCAAAAGAGACAAAAATCATAAAACAAAAAATAACATAGAAAACTAAAGTTTGATCAACAAGAACCCCACTAAAAACCAAAGGTGGTCTGATTTAATCCCGATGGTTGAGTATTTATTTAATTAATTTCCTATTCTCAAATAGTCCTTAACTAACCCTGTACGCTTGCATAGGTTCTATTTATCAATTTATATCATGCTGTGTTTGCACGAAGACACAATTATGAAATGTGAATAAAAGGACTCGGTGATGGTGTTATAGTAAACGAGAACGTAATCAACGACAAAAATAGCAAAATGACATTTGAACATATTTTGAATGAGTTTACATTAAATGTTTTGTTCAATAAATTGTTAAGAATGCATATTCTATCACCAGTATATCCTCCATTTGACCCCCCCCCCCCCCCCTTTTTTTCCAATTAAAGGAAAGGACTGTGTTTTTGCATTAGATGCAATATTCATGTTTATCACAAGCTACTTTTTGGAAACTTAAAAACGCCTAACTGCATCTTGTGTGTTTTTCTTTTTTTTTTTTTGGGGGGGGGGGGGGGGGGGGGGGGGAGAGAGGGGGGAGGGGGGGATGATACCATTTCCGTGCGTGAACTAAACATGTTAGATAGCACATACTTTGAAACTAGTTTCAAAAATAGTATATAATTTCTGTGAATTTTAACCGTCATATATAAATTATTAAGGAAAAAAGACTACCCATTACAAGTCATATATGAGATCGAAATTTACATCATGGCATAATTAGGTTACATTCAAACGTAAGGATGATTGGGATGAGGGGTTTCGACTTCGGATCGATGAAGTTATATACGATGTTTTCTGTTTCAATAGTTGATTTTGTAGAAGTAAATGTTGGGAGAATTGTTGTAAATAGTATAGATAGATTTCCATTTTACAATTATACCACATCTCCTTGCTGTTGTTTAAAAAGTAAAATAACAAAAATACAAAACTCCAAGAAAAATTCAGAAACGTCTTCTCTCAAATCGCAAAATCAAAAGCTCAAACACCTCAAACGAAAGGAAAACAACTTTCATATTCCTGACTTGGTACAGGCATTTCTTAATGTAAAAAATGGTGGATCAAACCTGGTTATATAGCTAGCTAAACCGCTCACTTGTATGAAAGTCACAAAACATTCCTTGATATTGACAACAATGTGTGAAAAAAACAAACACATATAATAGGTAAAAATATAAAAAATAGTTGTACAGCAGTCAACATTGTGTTATAAACCTTATCACTATCAAACAAAACAAACATTCGACAAGGAAACACAACATAGCATGTAGACAAAGCACATAAGCAAAAATGAAAGACAAGAATACAAAAAAAAAACATAGAACAAAAACATAATGGCGGGATGTATAAGTACAGAGCCATGTCAAAAGGTTTTTTTACCAAAAGTGGACTGAACAGAAAGGGTAATAATTTACAAAGGCAAATTAAAATACAAGATAACACGTAATTAAGATGATAAGCAACGTACATACCTAGAATCTATATTCCAAGACCAGACCATCATGTATTATTTGTGAAGTTGATACGGAATATTTATCAACTAGGTTTTAGTATCTTCCGATGACCTTTCTTAATAAAAAAGGACGAGACGTTCTTTGACATAACCATGGTTCATCAGCTTTCTGTTCAGACACTCGTGACTTTTATTAAGATCTTTATACATAATTTAAAAGCAATGAAAGGGAGGTAATCCACATTCTTTTTGTAATACTTTAAATGTATTAGGATTACCTCCCTTACACTGCTTTTTGATTGTCCATTAACCAGTTTTTTCCCCCTTTTTTGCCCTAATTCCTAAACAGTTTGAGCCATAACCCCCAAAGTCAATCCTAACCATCCCTTTGTGGTATGGAAACTTGTAGTATAAATTCAGAGAGATTCATACACCATTCCACAAGTTATTGTCTGAAAACTAGAAAAATGCTTATTTGGGCCCTTTTTTGGCCCCTAATTCCTTAACTGTTGGTACAATAACCCCAAAAATCAATCACAACCTTCCTTGTGTGGTATTAAACCTTATGGTAAAATTTCATAGAGATCCATTCACTTAAACTAAAGTTATTGTGCGAAAACCAATGTGTCTTCGGATGAAGACGACGACAACGACAACGACGCCGACGCCAACGTCATACCAATTTACGACCACAGAAATTTTTTGCGGTTGTATAAAAAATGTATTGCATTTAAAAGAAAAAATATTAGTTATCCATTAACAATTCATATTGGTACATGTTGCTCAATCTTCAATTTTCTATGTTGTGTTTAGTAGACTCTTGTTTGGTTGATTTTCTTTCATGACATTCTCAATTTGCTTTCCATCTATGAGTTTAACTACCTTTTTTAAACAACATTCCTTAAGATATATATATATAGCCAAAATAAGTTCATAAATCATAACACTAAAAATAATAAAAACAACAATACCAACACCCACCCAGGAAGTGTGAGTGATGAATCTGAAAACACATCACAAGGTATGGCTGACTTTTATAAACCCTGAAACCAAATTTCAGAAATCCTTATGATGTAGTTCCTGAGAAAGATGCAATGAAAAATTCATGTGACAGACAGAGGGACAGACAGAGGTAAAACAGTATACCACCACTTTTTTAAAGCTAAGTAAAATTAAAAAATCTCTTTTGTCAGTGTTTTCTTCATTCTTTTTCAGTATTATTTGATTGTATAAGCATAAGATAGTTTGCCATTTAACAGAGGAAAACAAACCTGCATAACACTGACATGATATTTTGTCAGTAACCATAGTAACATATTTGGCACAGCTTTCATAGCATCCGATGCCATCAGTAAACATGATCCACTACTTAAGGTCACAAATATGTCTACAATACTTGGGTCAAACGATAAAGGTGATGACAAAAATACAATGTCTTCTTCTCTTATTCTAAAAGTACTCCTGAAATGAATATGACAACCATGCTTATTATTTCAAGTTTGCCCTTGTTCATGTATAAATTTAAAACCATTTACTTTCTATGATTTCTTGTTTTTTCTTATTGTTTTGAACACATTGTCTTAATGAGTGTATAGTTGGTAGTAGTCTCTGATAAATGCCTGTTCAACTTATCTAGACATGGTGCAAATGTTTCTCCGAAATGGTATGGATGTGATTGATATATAGCGATAATTCTAGACTATTTTGTCCTCCGGGTGCGAACTTTCTCGCTGTGTTTAAGACCCATTGGTGGCCTTCAGCTGTTTTCTGCTATTTGGTGGGGTTGTTGTCTCCATTCTCAATTTTAATTTGAATGATTTAGTTTTTTTATTTGATTGTCTTGTTTCAATTCTGTTTCAATACTTTTAATTTCACATCACTTATTATTAAAGCAGGAGGTATGGCATGCCACAAAACCAGGTTCAACCTACCATTTTTTTCTTAAAATGTCCTGTACCAAGTCAGGAAAATGGCCATTGTTATATTATAGTTCGTTTCTGTGTGTGTTACATTATAATGTTGTGTTTTTGTTGTGTCGTTGTTCTCCTCTTATATTTGATGCGTTTCCTCAGTTTTAGTTTGTAACCCGGATTTGTTTTTATCTCTATCGATTTATGAGTTTCGAACAGCGGTATACTACTGTTGCCTTTATTGAAGTACAACGATGATTGATTTGTTAAATGTTTGCTTAATAAAATGCAGCAAATATTCCTTGCATTTTTAAGACAAATATACACAAATTTTTGGAAGATCCATTATGTAGTTCCTGAGAAAAAGAATGGATGGGCATATATAAACTGTATCCCTGTCCTTCCAATAATTCAGGGAATGAGTATAACAAATTGAGGAAGAGAATGACAGACAGATGGTCATAAGTAACACTATATCGCCCAGTAATTGTGAAAATGTGTGCTTCATCAAGGTCTTTGATAAAAAAAATGTATGGTTATCATCTATTTTTAGGGCTATTCCATTACAATGAATTGGGGAGGGCAGGAAGGGACTTCCAAATCTCACAACTACCAATATTGTAAATTCAGAATTTATAATTACATATATTGTGTGCATCTATGGGGTATTTGGTTAAATATATTATCAATCAAAATAGAAATACTATCAGACATATGCATCCTATGGGATTATGATCGGTAACTCCACAACATACAAAGGTGGTGTTGGATTACAGCTTGGGTATGTCTGCCTCTAGGAGAATGGACAACCATGCCAAATAAAGTTTATTGTGAATTTAGGAAAATCTGCATACAGATATTTGTATCAGATATCACATGCCAGTTCTTATTAATGCAATACTCACTGTGTCGCATTATTTGCATTTAAAAAACTCACAATATACGATCTGGATTTACAGTAATGTTTGCATAAATGATTCATGTCCAAAACTAAAACTTCCTTCCCTACCCTCCTCCATTAATATTAATGGAACAGTCCATACCTTTGATATAAAAAGTGAGGTACTTTGACAATCTTTGGTGTACAGTAGTGCCAGACGTTGTGATGCAGTATGCTAAGGATGTCCTCTCTGACCTAGGATGTTGTGGTCTGTTTAACTTTACTAATACCATGTTGAGATCTTGTAAAATATCACTACGGATAATCTCAGCATTGTATTGGAAGAGAGGTTGTTCTAAAGCCTAAAAAATTGTATGGAATAATCTTGAAACCAAAATTATAAACAAACAAGAAAATGTTAACTTGCTGCTATGAATGAAGATTCTTCATTCATTTAATTCCATGCATGATATATTTACAAGTGAAGGAAAAAAAACTCATTCCCAACATACTTGATTTTGTGGTGATATTTTTCTTGTTGGATCTTTTTTGGTGACATAAAAAATTGAAAAAGATGGCATACAGAGAAAAGTCAACAAATTGTGTATACTGAAGAAAACGTGAATATTTACTTGATTTATTTCATTGGTGTTATTATACCAGATACCAGTATATTGTAAAATATTTCTGTTATATAGATTAATCTTGTTTGCATGATCAATGGTCTTCAGACATACCCTATGAGAACAGAAGGAACAAACTGGTTTGGTTCTAAACAAAGACCGATGATATCTGATGTTTCTGTATGGCCCAAAATCAAACTGCTTATCTACAAAGTGTTATTTAGTAAAGAATGTTAATGAAGTGGAGCAGGATCTGCTTACCCTTCCGGAGCACCTGAGATCACCCCCAGTTTTTGGTGAGGTTCGTGTTGCTTAGTCTTTAGTTTTCTATGTTGTGTGATCTGTACTATTATTTGTCTGTTTGTCTTTTTATTTTTGGCCATGGCGTTGTCAGTTTGTTTTCGATTTATGAGTTTGACTGTCCCTCTGGTATCTTTCGTCCCTCTTTTAAACTAAACTTAAATAAATGATATGTTAAAATCAAAGCTATATTGTTCAGTTTTCATTATATGTAAACAGGTGTACAAGATTATTACAAAATGTGCAGCAATTAGAAATTAAAATAGAAATGTTTGATACATTTAATTCTTTAATGATAAGCAAAACCAGTCAGATGTTTTTTACTTTTCTTTTTTTTTTTCAAAGTTGGAAACTGTATGTCCCGTCCCTATAACCAATAAATAAGCTTCATTTAAGTGACTGCATGATTAACAAAGCATAGACAAACCAACGTAGGCTATACTGTGTTTTTTCAACCAAAATAATTTATTATTTTATTTGATTGATTTTTTTTGTAAGAAATACCAATAAAAAAATGAATCTAGCTTTCACAACCCTGATAACAAAATGTATACACTACAATTTAAGCATTTCATAGTCAGTTAAAATATTGTTATCTTACCTTCCCAGCTACAATCATAACTTGTTTATACGTCAAAGTTGCTGACATCTGTCCATCATCATAAATCACAGCTATTCTGTCTCTCCATTGGTCACAATCTGAGACAAGGTCAAATAACATCAGTTCCTTTTTCAATTAATCAATCATGATTAGCTGAAATATAAATTTCACATTCTAAAATGTTTAAGCTATATATTTCAAACCTCTTATTGGTTAAAAATTATTTAGGTTTCTGAAATAATGACACATTGCTAACCATCATGCATCATGGTACAAATAAAAATCCTGAGTGTGTCATACTTAGTTTTTTTATGTAAACAATGCTAACACTTTTTACTGTAATTTAAAATTTCCCCTCTGCTGTTATTTTCATGACGCATTTACATTTAAATGGAATACAAAAAAATATGACCAGCAATTTTCAACTACCCTTCACCATGTTAAATTTTTCGGTAATGAGTCGATTATGATTGAAGACTGTTTCAAAGAACTCCTAATTGAATAAACTGCTAAAGTGATCTGACCTTCCTACATGATCGGACCTTCCTAGATCACATAGTCACTGAGGACCGGTATCTCAGTCAGTGAGCTATACTCATTACCGGTTGCAGTTGTCAGGTTAACATGTTCCTCCCCACTACACTCCCCCCACCCTGCCATTAAATACAAAATCTAACAGCGTATGAACATTGCCAATGAAGTACATTTTCTGCTGATTGTTCAAAGGAGACATGTTCTTGTATCTCATTGACCAAGCTATCTCAGGTTTCATCACGTCAACATTTTTGTTTTTATAGTTGCAAATAGAGAACTGGTATTGAACATCCTTCGAAGAAGCTGTTTTTGTTTTGTCAAGCACTTATAAGAGACCATCTCAGCTATAGTGTGGCCTTATTATAAATGGGAAACTAATAAAACTAGCTGAGGCTATCACAGCCGCTATCACACTCTTTTGTGAATAGACATTTGAAGTTACTGCATCCTCTAGCTATTTCATATCAATGAACTTTTTGCTTATTCAGTTGTTGAGTTAAGTGATATAAATATGAAGATGTGGTATGAGCGCCAATGAGACAACCCTCCATCGAAGTCACAATGTATAAAAAGTTAACAATTATAGGTCAAATTACGGCCTTCAAAACGGAGCCTTGGCTCACACCGAATCACTTTTATGCCATTAGTCTCAAGCACTGCCATGAATCAACCAATTATATCAAGCCATAATAATGATTCAAGTGAATGTATGCTTCCTCACAAATTGAAGTAACATTGTGCAATTGAAGAACATTTTTGGCCCCAACATATCATGTTGCCACTTTTTACACATTGGGGTAATATTATGTCAAAAAAGTCACGATTCCGTAAAGTGAAAATGCTCATGCTTTTTGAAGACACAACAAATTTGCAAGGTATCAGCGTACACACTGTGCTAAGATTCTCTACAGCTCAATCGTAATGAGCAGACTCTTACCCGTAAACATGTTCATAGTCTACATACAGTGGATCCATTATATTTCTTGGGATACCAAATTTGGGGAATTTAAGAGTGCTGGTAAATCCCGATTTCAAATGTTCAACAAAGTACACATTTTCTATAAACTTGTAATCAGACTTTGACTAAACTATAAATTTTTAAATAACCACGAAATTTGGTACACAAGAAAAATATATGAATCTGCAGTGTTGCAATAATTTCGCCCATAGAATCTGAACACTGTAACCTGTTTTATATGTGTCAAACTTTTATAGTGCTGGTAAATTATCTTTAATATGACAGATGGTTCACCCACCCATTCTTCGATTCCTGATTAAGATTGAAAATTGTGATCTGGAAACATTCTAGAGTGCCACAACAATTAAGTGATTGTTTACATTATTGACTAACATTTATAATGTGAGCCATCTTGAAAGACCACCTTCATTGTAATATAGGAGTGTCTAACCAAGGACATAACGGCACATGACATCTGCCATACTGATTCAGAAGAAACCCAATTGTCCATTGGTCATTTCAGAAGAATCAAGTTCTGGCTAATATTTACGCTCCTTTGTGCAAATGTCCCACGTGATCTATTTAATAATGACCGGAGTAGAAATAAGATACTTTATCCAGCACAGTAGTTAACAACAAAATCATTTTATCCTACGATAAACTGTCATGTGTTTTGCAATATTTTGCATTTTTTTTTTTTGGGCCCAACAGGGTCTGGGCCTTAAGCATGAAATAAGCCAGGCAGTTGTTGAATATCAAATTCCTACAAAAGCATGAATATGCAAACTGTATCCTTCAAAAGCATACATATGCAAGCTATCAGCAAATAGAAGCATGCTTATTTCTACCCCTACATTTCCTGATAAACAGTCCTCTATAAAAAAAGTGGTTTTTCAAGACAGGTACCTAAGAAGTTATCCATAGATACCTAAAGCCAGTCATTGAATCCTTTAAGGTGTCCTTGGGTTATCTTTTAAGCTGGAACATTCACATAAAAGCATGTCTTCCATATGCCCGTACAAAGTAGGATGAATCTTTAATATCTTCGTGTCTTTCCAATTTCTTGTGTGAATCAGGCTAACCTTGTCATATATCCTTTGTGAAACAAGGTCAACCTTTCCATTTCATTAGTGTAAATCAGTCAATTCCTCTCAAGTTTGTTACTAAAATGTTCCCTTTCTGATTTCCTTTCATTGAATTCATCATAATTTCAAAGTCCTCGTATAAAACAGGTTAACTTTAGCACATCAGTGGTGTTAAACAATTTATATCGTGTTGATAATGGTTCAACTATGAAACTTAGTATTTGGAAGTATCACATCAAAGTGTCCTGTTATTAATGAGGTATAATTACTCCACACTATAAACAAACATTACAACCGTCAAGATAACGTTAACAGCTTTTACAATTTAAATGATTTATCAACAAAGTTTGGCATTACACACATCACACAGTTTATTGTCAATCATGATAATTGTTTTAGTTCATGACACAAAGATTGGAAGTGAGAAAATATATTAATTCAAGCTTTACCATGAACAAATAGGAAATATTGTTAAAAAATAACATTAATTAAAATAAATTAATTAAAATTCATCATGATGTTGACTAAAATTGATAACAGTAACCTCAATTTCAAACACGAACTACTTTTACTTAATAACTTGATCGTTAACAAATGCACTTCTTTAACAAATTAATTTTAAAACAACTAACATACATGTATTAAAAACAGTTAAGGTGGTACCAAACAGCTTGATTTAAATTAATTTGACTCGTTTAAATTTCATAAAATTTTTACTAAATAATTACTTTACCTTTTGCCAATAGTATAAAAAAAAAATTAAACTTGAACCACACACTTTATTGGAAAAAATTATTGGATATATAGCAGTTAAAAAACACCAATTTTAATCATTGAAAAGCTTAGAATACCCTTAACAATAGAATGTGAATAAAAAGTTCAGCTGATTTTTACAGAGTTATCTCCCTGTAGTGTTATTCAAAATTCATCATATTGAATAAAATTGATCTGATAACAGTAAACTCAACCTCAACTTCAAACAAGAACTTTTACTCTATCACTTGATAGTGAACAAATGCACTTTTCTAACAGGTTATTTTTAAACCAATTAACATTCATGTATTAAAAAACAGTTAAGGTGGTACCAAACACCTTGACTTAAAATATTTGGCTGGTTTAAATTTCATTAAATTATCACTTAATATTTAATACTTTAACCCAATAACAAAAATATAAACAAAAATAAAAAAAACATACACTTTATTGGAAAATATTCATTGAATATATAGCAGTTTAAAAACACTAAATTGAATTTTGTTCATTGAAAAGCTTAAAAGTAGTACTTCCTTAACAGTAGAATGTGATTAAAACGTGCAGCTGAGTTATCTCCCTGTAGTGTTATGTACTACCTATAAATATGAATTCCTTTCTTCCAATCGGATATCATTTATCAGGTTTTTTTCACGTCGGGTTATGTTCATAGTATGAGCCTAAGAAGGGTCAGTAAAATCTTCCCCTTGTTCTTTATAACTAATTAGGCTTTTATTGCATCTTGCAACCCATTTAAATAGGTATGTTTATGTAGTAGAAATTCCACAGTAAAATACCAACCACAAACATTAGACATGAAAATTTCCAAATATATGATATCGCACACTATCTACATTAGAATACATCAACATATCTTTCATTATATATACATTATGTACAATATCAACGTTAACGTTAACATTTTTCTAATGACCGGGAAATTGGCGACTATTGCCAGTTCCTGTCCACATCTGTTGATTTGGAATGTTTCCTTGGAACTGATCATGATAATCTAATCCTTGACCCCACTGCATCCCATCCAAAGAATTGAACCCAGCGTTGCCTGTGTTGTGACCTAATGAACCCTCAAATGATCGATCCATTTGTCTAGTCAGAGAGGACAGACCCATTGATTCTACTGATACACTATCAGTAAATCCTAGACCTTGTTGTCTTACGATGTTTTCAGTTTGAAAGTCTCCATTAAAGGGACCTCTTTGATACCTCATCTGATTGAAATTTTGAGACATTGAAGTATGGTCTGGTCCTAGATTATTCGTCATCTCAAAGTTCCTGTTTTGTGAAGTGTTTCCTGATCTGGAATATTCGACTTCACTGTCAAATAATGACCTTATTTTTCTATCTCTAGCTTGAAGACTACAATTTATAGACATTGTCTCTAAATCTCTAGGTCCCATTTGATAGTCAGCATCAAGGTTACCTTGATAATAAGAGCCTAATGAATCAGCTCTATCGTCATGACTACTATTGTTTACATTTGAAGATGGTATATAAAATTTCCCACTTCTCTGCCTATTTCTATTGTGAACTCTGTTTCTTTTCCTCTTAAAATTTGTATCTGAAGGATTCAATCTTTGATTATTTGTGTTCTGCAAAGTGTCTCGCAAATTTTTTGAATTTTCTGAGAGATTAGTCCTTCTTGCTTGCAAATTTCTTAAATGGTGATTTCTATTCTTTGGCTGTGATTGGGAGCTATTTATCGTAGACATTTCAGACTGCAGAACTTCTTTTGGTTTGTTGGATGAATTTTTAAAAAGATCTGAAGTGGGACGATCCATAGAAGACTTTCCTGCTGGAGGAAATGCAGAAAGTATGCTCATGCGTCTCTTTTCGTCTAATAAGCTGATCAAAATCAGTATAGGTCTCCAGTGGATCAGACCAGCAGGAGAATTGACTGGATTCAAACTGAACCGGTCAGGTACCTTCCAATCTTGATCTTGGCAAACTTCCACCATGGCCCAATGACAGGAGGCCAACTCTTCATTTTTTGGAACATCAATACCTATACCATTGACAAGATCCATTAAGGCATTGAATGAACTTTGAGGTCCAAGGATGGCCATTTTCAATGCACGAAGGGCTGCAACACGAGTTGGGGTCACATTTGCTTGACTGATTTTATCGGAATCTTCCACTGTTTTAAATATGCCTGGTATATGTTTTTGAGATGCATGATAGTACAGATCATTGCACTCAATAAAGCACCCTGGAATGGGACACTTTTCAAGCTTACCCTGAACATGGTGAAAGGGTCTACCTTTTCTGGCATTAGAATTGTCCCTTTCTGGACAGTCTATCCTGCGATTTCGTTCTTCCTCATCCCTCCAATCAAATTCTCGAGTAGGAAAGTCTTCCATTACATTCTTTCCTCTCAGAGTGTCCTTCACAAATCTGTCTCGTTTCGAATCATCCCTCCAATCAAACTCTTGAGAAGAAAAGTCTTCTGTTACATTCCTTCTACTGAGAGTATCCTTCACAAATTTATTTCTTTTTTCCTCATCCATATGATCAAACTCTCGAGAAGGAAAATCTTCCTTCATATTTCTTCCTCTACTAGTGTCCTTGACAAATTTATCTCGTTCAAAACCATCTTCTCTGCTCATCATTCCTCTCTCATGACCAATACTCCTATCATGCCTATCAAATCCAAAGGCTTTAAATAATCGGTCATCTTCCATAGATGAAAAGTCCTTTCTAAAATCATTCTGATCATTTCTTGAGTAAGCCAGATCTCGACTTGGAATGACTTCATCATCTTCCATAAGAACAGGACCAAATCCAAAACCCTGTCTGTTCCCTTTTTCTGCATATTCTGATCGGCCCATGTGGAAATCTCTATGGTCCTGTCCAAAGTTTGGACCTTGTTTAATCATTTCCATATGTCTATGACGCATGTCATTTGGTCTTCCCCTAGAAAAGTTAGCTTGTTCTCTCAACATTTGCCTGCGTTCAACATCATCAATATCAAAAGGTCTCCTCATGAAATCTTGCTGTTCATCATACCCTCCTCTTATCCTTTCCCTTTCTTCGTTAAACATGACATCATGACGTCTTCTCAGAAATTCCTCTTCATCATGGTGGAGGTTAAGGCATTCTCTTCTCATGTCGGTATTTTCAAATCTAGTGTTATAAGGTTCATTCATGAAATCATTCTGCCGTTGTCCAAAATCCAACCCTTTCCTAAAAAATACTTTATTTTGAGGGTTATCATCGGGATGTTGTGCATTGAAATTCATCGGTCCCATCATCATGTTTTCCAGATTCATTTGAAAAGGGTCATTTAGTCCAAATGACCGATGAGCAAAATTCTGTCGCATGGAAGGAAAACCTGGACCAAAATTTGGTCTATTAGCTGCTGCAGCTATTGCACGAGCAGTCTGTCTTAATCTTCGAGCACGGCGTCCTGCAGAGCTCTCCTGAAATTTTTTCTTTCTAAAATTCCCAAACTTTGGGTCTGCTTTTTTAGATGTATCTACCAGTGTGATTTTGTTTTCTTTCGTTTGAGGCTTTAATTTTGCAGCAGCTTCAGCAGCCTGCGCAGCCTCTCTGCGCTGTCTTTGACCTGGTCTGATTCTTTTCCATCTTTTTCTCGGCATTGTTAAACTCGGCACAGTCTTAATGGCTGGTGATTTTCCATGATCCTTCTGTGAATATCAAGAAATTTGACTGATCAATTGGTGCTGATATATCTGTCAATTATTTTATGAAAAAAATCACCAGGAAAATTAGTTACAGTCATCATTAATTTTCCATCATTTTCAATTTAAACAATCCCCTCCCCCCCCCCCCCCCCCCCAAAAAAAAATCAATTTCTACTGGGTTATAATAATGATGATGAAATTGGTGTTTAATGTCCAACTGCAATTATTTCATGCATATAAGGATGTAAACAATGTGAAATGTATTTCTATGTCCCCAGCAACACAGGTCATTCAGACATTGCTAACTACACCCTTTGATAGAAATTTCATAATAAACTGTTACCACAAAAACATGTCTCGCTTTTTTGTAATTTTGAGTATGCAAATGTTGAAATTAAAATGGCAATACTTAACAACATGAACAAGTAAGGCTAATATTCAAAGTCAATGAACCATAACTGAGGTACATGGCTAAACCATCTCCATGTAAAGGAGATGTGCCAATGCTAATACAACTGCATACCAAATATCATTGACTTGTTATAAGTTGTTCCCTTTAAACAAACCTAAACACAAACATTAACTTGTAAACTATTTTAAAGTTTCAAAGTCAATGAACCATGAAAAGGGGGTGGAGCTATATAATCTCCATGGAGACAATACTTACAAATGCCAATAAATTTGCATACCAAATATCATTGACTTCACATTAGCAGTTTATCTTAAAACTGATCTTATCACAAACTAATACATGTAAACTAAGCAAAAGTTTCAAAGTCGATAGACCATGACTGAGGGGACGGGGCCACATATTATCCATTGAGATGAGATGCGCTAATGCTAATACAACTGAATACCAATTAACATTAGCCTACCACTAATGGTTCCCCTTGAACTGACCTAATCACAAACTAATACATGTTAACTAAGCAAAATTTTCCAAGTCAATAGACCATGACTAAGGGGGCTGAGCCAAATAATCTCCATGAAAATGATTTCTGCCAATGCTTATACAACTGCATACCAAATATCATTGACCTACCACCAATGGTTCGCCATAAACTGACCTAATCACAAACTAATACATGTAAAATAAGCAAAAGTTTCAAAGTCAATCGACCATGACTGAGGGGGCAAGGCCAAATAATCTCCATGGAGATGAGATGTGCCAATGCTAATACAACTGTATACCAAATATCATTGACCTACAACTTTTGGTTCACCACAAACTAGACTTAATCACAAACTTATACATTGTTGACGCCCCCGCCGCCGTCACTGGCGCCGGAAACAGCATACCTATGTCTCGCTTTTTGACTCCGTCAAGTGAGACAAAAATCTGGATAGAATTGTACACATGCATGAGAGAGCTTACAAGACCGATGGGTGGATGCCCATTATTTCCATGTCCCCTCACAACCCAATGTTCAGGTGACGATATGAAAGGTAAAGTGGCATATTTTTTCTTACTTGGCATCAATACACTAAAATAAAACATTTATCAACAATGAGTAAAAAGATAAATGTCAGATTAAGTCATCTGTATTGTTATGTAAGTGACAACTAAGTTGACAAAGTTGGTTAACTTTTTAGATGGATTTGGTAATTTTTTAGGTTCTTTTTAGTCATAAAGCTCTTCAACAGTTCCGCACTTATACATCCTTGCCTTTCGAACATTCTGTTCAAGTATTCCTGATGAAGGCAAATCCAGAAATGCATTTCAGATACAAGACATTTTGCTTTCATTAATGCCAACAAACTATAAAATACATTTAACACATATCACTTCAAACTTTGGACCTTTAAGGGGCCTCAGTGGCTGATTGGTTTAAGTAGTTCATCTACAGATATCACTAGCTAGCCTGTCAACACTGTGTTATGAGTTTGAACTCGTTGGTGGCAGAAAAGTAGGACTCCAATCTTAATTGACAAGGAATGCCAGTGTTTTTACTTAAAGTCATGAAATTGCGGATAATAACACTAATATATTTCACTTTCCTGTCGTCTGCTAACGGTATGCCACATCATACAAACTAAAAGTACATCAACCGGTTTTAAAATACCTGACTCTGTTGATCAGATCCTGACTTCTCACTGGTAACCATGGTAACTGACTTTTTGGCATGGTCTTGTGGTTCCTACAAATATATTATACTATATAAGTCAATGCAATGTAATAGAAAAATAAAGGATATGGGGTATCCATCCACGACACAAAATCAGTACATGCCCAGCAATAAAAAACTAGAGGCTCTCAAGAGCCTGTGTCGCTCACCTGATTCTACTTTGGTTTTGGAAATCATGTAAAAATAGATTAAAATCATAACAGATACCCTAATAATGAGTGAGGCCAAATTTGGTTTAATATTGGTCCTGTAATTTAATAAAAAATCCTGGTGGCCATCTTGAACAGTAAATCGGCAACAAAGTAGCAACACTTAATCAGCACCTCATAAGAAACATTTATGCCATGTTTTGGTTTCATTCCATTCAGTGCACCTCTAGAAGAAGCATTTGTATGCATTTCCTATAGGGTCTTATGTTAAAGGAAGTCCCCCCATTGGCGGCCCTCATGGAAGAAGGATCAGCTTCAAAGTAACAAAACTTAGTCAGCACCTCATAAGGAACATTCATACCATGTTTGGTTTCATTCCATTCAGTGGTTCTCTAAAAGAAGACATTTGTATGTATTTCCCATAGGGTCCTATGTTAAACTAAGTCCCCCGCTGGCGGCCATCTTGGATTATGGATCGGCTTCAAAGTAACAACACTCGGTCAGCACCTCATAAGAAACATTCATGCCATGTTTGGTTTCATTGCATTCAGTGGTTCTCTAAAAGAAGACATTTGTATGTATTTCCCATAGGGTCCTATGTTAAACTAAGTCCCATGCTGGCGGCCATCTTGGATGATAGATCCGCTACAAAGTAACAACACTTGGTCAGCACCTCATAAGGAACATTCATGCCATGTTTGGTTTCATTCCATTCAGTGGTTCTCTAAAAGAAGACATTTGTATGTATTTCCCATAGGGCCCCATGTTAAACTAAGTCCCCCGCTGGCGGCCATCTTGGATTATGGATCGGCTTCAAAGTAACAACACTCGGTCAGCACCTCATAAGGAACATTCATACCATGTTTGGTTTCATTCCATTCAGTGGTTCTCTAAAAAAAGACATTTGTATGTATTTCCCATAGGGTCCTATGTTAAACTAAGTCCCCCGCTGGCGGCCATCTTGGATTATGGATCGGCTTCAAAGTAACAACACTCAGTCAGCACCTCATAAGAAACATTCATGCCAAGTTTGGTTTCATTGCATTCAGTGGTTCTCTAAAAGAAGACATTTGTATGTATTTCCCATAGGGTCCTATGTTTAAAATAAGTCCCCCGCTGGCGGCCATCTTGGATGATGGATCCGCTACAAAGTAACAACATTTGGTCAACACCTCATAAAGAACATTCATGCCATGTTTGGTTTCATTCCATTCAGTGGTTCTCTAGAAGAAGTTCAAAATTATAAAAATTAACGACGACAATGGACGACGCCGGACGACGGTTGACGGACGCCAAGTGATATGAAAAGCTCACTTGGCCCTTCGGGCCAGGTGAGCTAAAAACACACAAAAATCAAAGGAACAGCGCTTTTATTGCTGTCCTTTATTTCAAACATGTCAAACTTACAGTTACCAATATCCATCCATAGGACAAAGTTTAACACAATTTATGGCATCAATATACCTTTTGAGCATTCTACATGAAATTAGGGTTATTTTTTAATAACTTAACCGTTTTCTCTATTATTTTTTATGGTTGCAGAAAACATGGCAAAATGGAAATAAAGTATATTTCATACTTCTTGCTTTATTTGGCCTTTTTAACCTTCTTGATTCAAGCAACACCAATGGGTCTTTTGAAGACGAAACATGGCATACAATGATTGTATAGTGAATATACTATATGAATAAAAAATTTGATTTTCAACTAGAGAGCAACACAACAACAAAAATTATTAAGTATTGCAATGTAACAATTCAGCCTGTTTAAGGCCTCTTCTAGTTCATAAAATTCATAAAATTTTATCATTAATCCTTGAATCCAATCTTACCTTTTGGACTGATGCTTAGGAAAGTTCAAGATTAGAATTAAAATTATGTATAGAGTAAGCATCTATAAATAAATTAAAAAAACACCAATAAAACTTTCTAACCTTCTTTATTGTAACAACCACCTGATCATCTGAAGATTTCCACACAGTTTCATTTGACTCCTGTAATATAATAAGATAAAAATGAACAAGAGGGTGATCAAGCAGATAGCTAGCCTGAAAAAAGAACATTGAGGCTATGATTGCATGCCTTTTAGAGTAAGTGGATTGATTTTTGTTTTGCAAGTATTTTATTGGTTATTGTGAGAGGGTATTTAGTTAAGGCAAGCATAAAAGTAAATGATAAGAAAACAGAAATTTCTGACAAATTGCGGTTAAAAACTATTTCTTATCTCTATGAACTTTCTACAAAGATAGCGATATATATATATATATATATTGTTGTTTGTGCTGTATTTAGACCCCTCTACCACGAAATTTGTTTTACATGCACACGTATAAAAATTGCGGTTTTTATCCAACGCAATCATAGGTTTGAACGTTGTTTTCAATTTAGACTTTTATATATTTTTTCGTTTGGGCTTGTATTATAATTTCCTTCGGGTTAATATGATCCGTTCATCCTATTTCGACTCTTTAAAATTCAAGTCTTTCCTAAATTGAGGTAAATTATATGGCCTTCCAAATACCGTTTCGATCCCTTACATCACTGAAGAGACATTAATAGTCGAAATCCGGATATGGTGTACAAATTTTTGCACCTGATGTTTGTGGTATAGCATCTTTTCCACAAGTTTATTGTTTTCTGTTTGGTATTAAATTAATATTAAGATCCATTTTGTTAGATCTGGTGATCAATTTATTTGGCAATCGCCAATGGCAGTCAGCAGGGTTTAAGAACATCAGTTGTTCGACCTGTTAGTCAAATGCGTTTTGTTAAAATAGACTTTTTCACTTTTTTTGGTCTTTTGGAAATTGTTGTTTGTGCTGTATTTAGACCCCTCTACCACGAAATTTGTTTTACATGCACACGTATAAAAATTGCGGTTTTTATCCAACGCAATCATAGGTTTGAACGTTGTTTTCAATTTAGACTTTTATATATATATATATATATATATATATATATATAAAGCCAAAGCAAATGTTGGTCATTGTCATGAAAGAATCTGGTTGTTGTTGTGTGGTAGTAGGTTTGGACTCTAATTGTATTAGTGTGTTTTGTCTTTTTTGGCAGCTGTGAGTTCAGGTTCTTGTTGAGTAAGTCATGTAAGTGTGTTTTGGCTTTTTGTGGTTTCAATACACGTTATAAGTTTTTGACTCATTGAAATTTACCAAACAATTCAGTTTCATAAGTTGATGAAGAAATTCATTTTTTTGTTGTATGATACAAGTCTTAAAAGTTAAAGTTTAGGGCATAAAACCAAAAGGCATTACCTGAACCATAACACCCAAACTTTGTTATTAACGTTAACGACGACGACGACGACGACAATGAAGACGATGACGATGATGATGATGATGATAATGATGATGATGCCAAAGACTGCTTACAATCTTATAGAAAAATGTATTTAGTCATTATATATAATTATATTTTGTGGTTTTGATTCAATATACCCAGGAAATCCAGGAAAAAATTATATCCAATATTTAACATGAATCAAAAGTCGTGACAGAATATACATTTATAATGAATAAAAACAATCCAAATATACTAATGAAATAATATTTACCTTTTTTATTCTGACCACTACTTGGTCATTTGGTGCTTTTATTGGCGCGTCAGTTGGTGCTTTTATTGGCTGGTCAGTTGGTGCTTTTATAGGCTGGTCAGTTGGTGCTTTTATTGGCTGGTCAGTTGGTGCTTTTATAGGCTGGTCAGTTGGTGCTTTTATTGGCTGGTCAGTTGGTGCTTTTATTGGTGCGTCAGTTGGGGCTTTTATTGGCTGGTCATTTGGTGCTTTTATTGGCGCGTCAGTTGGTGCTTTTATTAACGTGTCTGTTGCTGCTTTTATAGGCGGATCTGTTGGTGCTTTTATTGGGGAGTCATTTGGTGTTTTTATTGGCGAGTCAGTTGGTGGTTTCACTGAAGAATCGGTCGGCTCCTACAACAAAGATTGAAAGTTCTAAGATAGAAATATATATCAAGTGGAACAATCAAATGATCATAATGCCAGTCATTCATGAGGGTCTGAATGGATGGTAATTCAATTCTGTATTCTCAAATTTGTGGGCCATTTTTCTCTATTCCTCCTCAAAAATTTTGCCCATTTTACTCTATTTTCATGATTTCTTATATTTAAGCACCCAATTGTTCTCTATTCTTTATTTTATTTGCCTACACATTTTTCTCTATTCTTTATATTGTTTGGCCTTTATTCTGCACTTTTTGCACTTTATTCTCTATTCTGTAAACCCCACCCAGACCCTCATTTATTAAAAAAAAGGAATTAGCCTGTAACATACATGTATGACCATTTTGAAACTATGGCATGATGAAGCAAACAATATATATCATATTTGTTTGTTGTTTTGTTGTTTTGTTAAGTTTTTTCTTGTGTTGTGGTGTTTCATCTCCACTGTCCAAGGTTAGGGTAGGAGACAGGTGCCAGCTAACATGTTTGACCCGTCCACATTCTGTACGTGCCTGTAATTCGGTGGTTTTAGTTTGTTGCTATATCATGTACATGTATATATCATATTTGTTTTTCATGTAATGTTTTGTACATAAATCAAACCATTAGTTTTCTTGTTTGAATTGTTTTACATTTGTCTTTTCTGAGCCTTTTATAGCTTGTTATGGGGTTTTGCTCATTGTTGAAGGGTGCTTACATTGACCTATAGTTGCTAACTTATTCATTATTTGGTCTCTGGTAGAGAGTTGTTACATTGGCAATCATACCACAGCTTCTTTTTATAACGTTTAAAAATTATATCGCCAAATAGCCATGACTTGAGAGGGGGTTTTGATGGCCAAAACAAATTCACACCTGTGCAATGGTATCATCATCGTCAGGACCTATT